CTCGCCTGGGCAGCTGGGGCCGATGCCGCGGGTTTCCGTACGTCCGGGGCGATGAACCCTGTTGGTGATCTGCATATGTTCCCTGTGTCTGATGCTCCTCATTAAGCCACGGATGACAGCAAGCTCTCCCCTACGCTCCTCCTGGTGTAGATTTGGCAAGTGAGCAACCGAGATGAAGGAGAAAAGCACATTAGAAAAGCAATATTTGGTTACGGTTGTCCTTTTAATCGACTACTTAACTGTATCTCATTTAACTTGTAAGTTTGTGTCCTAATATTTATTATTAGCTCTTCGGTACGTAGCGGCAGGCAGTGATTATTCAGTATATGTAACAACAAACACAAGCTGGATGGATTATGTTAAGTATAAAAATCCTATTTATGTTTGCTTAAGTGAGTCTGATGTAAGAATTAAAAATTAATGCTCTAGGAAAATATTTGTGTATACCAGACCCAAACACACAGACATTGTTTTGCCTGTGTGCGGAATTACCATATGGCTCTCATTTTTTCTAATTAAGTTGGAGCTAACGGGGAAGCGTAGCCCACGGACACGCACCGTGCATCAGCACGTATGACGCTGTGGATCTGGCGGATCAGGTTATCCCGAGCACGGCACGAGAAGATCACAGCAGATTCCCATCCCAGGATGTGTGCTTGACTTTCTGATGCCCAAATTGCTGTGGTGTAAACCCACTCTGTGATTTAGCTGCCATCGTTGGCCGGTGCCAGGGCCTGCCCCGCCACGGGGCACCCACAGGGTCAGTCCAGCATCACCACATCACACATAGAGCAGAGTTTTTTCTTAAATCCCTCTGCCGCTGGCAAAGAGGGAGGGCTGAAGCCCTACTTTTCCAAACATCTAGGTCTTTTCCAACCTAGGTACCAAGAAAAGGCTTGGTACCTTTTACCTTACCTTTCACGAGGCTGCACTGCGTCTCCGTAGGCTTTGGTGGACCTGGATGCTGCCAGCAGTTGAGCTGGTGGGTGAGCCCTGATGTTCTTGCCATCACTGACAGCGAATCTCCCTAGTTAGCTAATTACTTTTTTTTTTTTTGTTACTAAGCAGAAGTTAATCCTGGATCGCTTTGGTTGCTTGCAAGTCGATGCACGTCACGAAGTCTCTCCCAAGCTGCCTTTTCCCTTTCCTGCGTATCGCGAAGCCATTGCCAAGAGCCCCTGTCCTCCCGCTGGTAGCACTCCCTGCCTCGCAGGGACGGGAGGTGTTCCACCAAAATTTGCTCCGGTTCTTTCCTTTCTCCGTGTTTTCAGTCAGAAGCATTCATTGTCTCTAATCTCTAGCTGCCTTTTTTTTTTTTTTTTTAAACTCAAAATGCAGTTACCTCCTTTACGTACAATAAACTCAAGTTAAACCTGGACCTGCGTGTGCTCGGTGCCTGTGTCCTGTCTCCCCCACCGGGATGCTCCGAGGGACAGACGGACCCCGAAAAGCAAAGGGGGGGAGGACACCCCGCAGCCCTGGGGACTGCGCGTACCCTCACATCATGAGATCAGTCATTTCTGGGGTGTTTCTCAGCTCAGTGACCCGCTCCGGGAGGTCCCGGGCCCCACCTCACTGCACAGACATGGGGGGTGGGATTGTTTCAGGTTTTTTTTGCAGGAATCGACCAAATTGGTGTAAACATGGGAGATTTTCTGCAAAGGATCGGGGTGGTTTTAGGAAGCGCCTGCGGGATCCCTCGGGATATCGAGCTCACCGTAGTGTGATCTGGGGACAGGGCACATCGTTTTGGGGACAGGGCATAGCGTTTCGGGACCCCCCCCACCCCGAGCAGCTCCTCCGCTCGTGTGGACCCCGAGGGACCATGGCCGGTTCAACGCTGCTCTTGGCATCTCCCAGGGCCCAGCATCACACTGCCCAAGTACCAAATTGCACGAAACAGAAAATCATCTGTGGGATCTCAGTGCCACAAAGAGCCCAGGAGCCAGCCTGAATTTATGTATTTCAATATCATGGTAGAGATCAAACTAAATATAGGCAAGCAAAAATACATCCCCAGCGCTGTACAGTACAAATGGAGACAATTAAGTCACAGCAAGGAAGGAAATTAATCTAATGATCTTTACGGGCTCACCATCTAGGAGCTAATTAGTTATAAAGGGAAAGAATGACGAGAAACTCAGCTGAACATGACTTTTCCACTCTTCTTATGGCCATTTCCAATGTATCCCTTTCTTTTGCTGCAAGGAGGGGAGTGGGGACCCAGACGGTCTCATCCGAAGCACCTCCATGGTCATGGAGAACCACGTTGCTCTGCACAGCCCTCAGCATCCATCCTGGGACTGAAAACGGGGTGATTCTCTGGTTTTTCCCTTCTCATTTACTGGTAACCTTCAGAGAAAGCCCTCCTCCACCCAGACATTGTCCTCCAACCCACATGCACACAAACCTGTTGGGTGTCCCTGGGGGATCGCCTGAGCGGGATGTTGGACATCAAGTGCTTTGGTGGAAGAACGGAGATGGTAGTGCCGAAGGGGAGATGCCAGAGGAACAAGAGCCAGCTCCACCTGAGGTCCATCCTGGGGAGAAGGGGACTCTGGACACCTGGAAACATTCAAGGTCAGGTTGGACGGGGCTCTGAGCAACCTGATCGAGTGAAAGATGTCCTTGCTCATTGCAGGGGGGTTGGACTAGGTGACCTTTAAAGGTCCCTTCCAAGCCAAACTATTCTATGCCCCATGCCTGGAGATGTCATCCCCGGCCGGCAGGCTCCAGCTCCACAGCAAACGCTGGTTTTGAAGCAACCGTACGATTGCACAGTGTGTGACTGTGCCCCCCAGCCCCCTTGGGGCTGTGCCTGTCCCCACGGGGCACCGCTTTGCCCCCAGCTGGGCCCTGGCCCACCTTGCTGGTCCTGGACAAGGGCCAGAGCCATGTGAGACCCTCCCACCCCAGCCAGCTGCCGCCCACGCGTGGT